CTGAAAGGTCGGACTGGATCCGTTCAACAACGAATGGACTCGTTTTTCACGGTGGTTTCGACATCAAATAACGCAACCAAGCGAAAGGTTCGTAATTTTATTTTCAGTCGGGAGGATTCCATGTAATAAATGAAATTGTGTAAATTCAGGCTGAAGAAATTCAGAAGAACAAGAATGCGAAAAAACCTCGTGGAGGTGGTGGCGGTCGTGGAAGAAAACCCAAGTGAGCCGAAAGGAAAGCCGAAGTCCTGAACAAAAAACGGGTGTGAATACTGTATTTTATTTTGAATAACTTTGTACTGTTATGAAAAATGGCAACGTTATTGGCTGACTTTTTATTATTACATTTTATGTCTTAATTAAAATTATATTATTTTGTTTCAATTTTGCAGGACGATATTTTGAAAAATGTCCATTGCCAGTGTTCATCCAGATTTAAGAAAATTTGGAAGCTTGTTATCTCCGCGAAATTCGTCGGTATTAGATGGAACTTGTTTGATTTGTTTGGAAAACTTCGTTCATCAATCCCCGTACGACGAAGGAGGCTCTAAAGCGGCGGTTTTGCGGTTGGAATGCGACCATTTCATTCATCACAACTGCGCCCTCATGTTATTGGGTAGAAATGTGAGTGATTTTAGCCGATTTTGTTCGCGAAGGATTTCGTTTCAGATTTGATTCGATTTTAGGATTTCTTGCAATGTCCGACGTGTAACAACGTGACTGGAATAAGAACTGGGAATCAGCCAATTGGAGCCAGAATGCAGATTCTTCTGCGAAAAGAATCTATTTATGGATTCTCCTGTCCCACATTTAGGATTTCTTGCAATGTCCGACGTGTAACAACGTGACTGGAATAAGAACTGGGAATCAGCCAATTGGAGCCAGAATGCAGATTCTTCTGCGAAAAGAATCTATTTATGGATTCTCCTGTCCCACCATATACATCTATTACAGGTGTTATTTTGTTACTGTGTCTTTTTGAGCTAGGCTTAAGAAATTTTTGGTTCTGACTGAGAACCAATTTTTGGAGGAGGAATGACGTGGCGATTCGGATAATTTACTGTACCGACATCGTTGCATCGTCAGAGCAAGAAATTATTTCTGTCTCATCTTTACGTAACATTAATTTTGAATATTCAAGTTTTTAAGCCCTCTTTCTCAGACACCGAACATATTTTTGTGATGCTGGTATTTTTCCGATGTGCCCGTTGAAAATTGTGAATTGTCTTCTTGATACATAATTGCAGCTTTCCGAATTCAACGTTCGTGCAGGATGACACGCATCCGGAGCCAGGTCATCAGTTTTCGGCGGATAATTTCCCACGGGTTGCATATTTGCCGTACAACCATGAAGGAA